TACTTGATCTACAGCGGAAGTCATGTCAGTACTGCCACGCCCTCTAGGGCTTAGTTGATGAACTGTTAGGGTTTCTGAACTCGCCCTATAGGGGGCGCTGCCTCATGTGATATGTTGGCATGACTGCCGCTTATGCTACTACCTGGGTGGATTGTTCCCAATGTAACCAAATATTGTACTAATAAAACCTCTGTGCACAGAGTGATTTTACAGTGTTGTAATATTTGACTGGATGGTTTGGAGCATATACTTGTAACTCAATCACAGACCTGTTTACTCTTACGATTTCGCCGTATTTTTTACGGATTTTTAGTCTAAAATACGTCTCACGTTTTGCCATTATGAAAATACGGAAATCAGAAACAAGTTAGTTTGGAATTTAACAGTTAGTTTTCGTTATGATCTGTCGTAGATTTACTTTATTTATCGCTAAATAAGAGAAAAATTTCAAACACCTAAGCGATATCAGGTTGCCAAAACGCTATGGTATTATAAAATGACCTTGTTGTTAAACAATGTTTTTGTAATCAGAAAAGCAGTTTTTTCTCTTTTAATATATGTAAAATTGATGGAAAATGAAATCTTACTGGCAAATGCCAAATCTCACGGACAAATCTTAAGAAAAATACTGAGAGACAACGTTATGGGTAAACAGGTCTGCAATCAGTATGAACATTTTCCTGCACTTAAAATTAATTTGGATCATAAGATATACTAAGTAAAACGAAATTTTCAATAAATTTCTGAGTTTGATCATCTTTGAGTTTTAGCACAGCTGAAAAGATGTGAACTAAAAGGTTTTTTTGAAGCTCCCAGCAAAAACAGTGGAAGAAGTAGATACAGAATGACAAAAAGTGACGATAACGAACAGTAATCACGCTCGAAAGTCAAAACAGTACAATTGTATAGCAGAGCAAACGTACCCTCTGAAAAAAGATCAGTGCCACAAAGGAGTAAACATTCCCTTTCTACGGTACCCGTCATTATGGCGTCATACCGCTGTAAGCTTATTGACTTGATCGGGTACAAGGAGTAATTCGACAATAATTCAGTACATCCAAACATAAAAATGATGTACATGTATAAAACTGTTTGGAGTTTTGTATTGCGATTTCAGTGGGAAATGAAAACTATCTAAATGTTGACCTGAAAGCCAAGAAAGGGACTTAATGGTCCTCAATTTACATACGTATACCAAAACATTTACTACCGAATTATATTCAAGTATAGGAATAGTTTGGTTTAATTGTATTTTTGAACAACTCTTGGTCTTTTAAGGGCACACGTGCCAGATATACAATTAAAATGCCATAAACTTTGAAATCAAGTTTTTCGGATTGAAATGAATATTTTCTTAATAAAACAAATCAAATTTTAATAGAAAACTTAAACGATATATTACATTTGTTTACATGTACGTAATGCAGTCTTAAAACGAGGTGTTTGAAACCCCTATAACATCAACTTATTTATCAAAGGACTGCATGCCCCAGTTTAAAATTGGTCGTACTTGGAGCATGCTGTAAAGTATCGAATAAGCTCGGAGATGGCAACACCATGCAAAATGTTGGCGGAATATACTACATAAATAAGGAAAGGGGAAGATCAGAAAGTTAAAGTCATCTCGCTTGTCATTTGGTTTAGTTGTTAGTTGGTCCTAACCCTGTTTAACCTGAAAAAAAAAAACAAACATCCAAATATACGATGACCAATTTCATCCTGATAGTACATTGAAATTTGTACGTCTAAAATATATGTTGACATGCATTTTTAGCTCACCTGAGCCGAAGGCTCAACTGAGCTTTTCTGATCAAAATTTGTCCGTTGTCTGTCGTTGTCGTCGTCGTAAAAATTTCACATTTTCATCTTCTCCTCAAGAACCACTGGACCAATTTCAACCAAACTTGCCACAAAGTATCCTTAGATAAAGGGGATTCAAGTTTCTCCAAATGAAGGGCCTGGCCCTCTTCAAAGGGGAGATAGTTATGAATTAGTGAAAAATAAATGGCATTTTTAAAAAATCTTCTTCTAAAGAACCACTAGGCCAGAGAAAATGAAACTCGTGTGGAATCATCCTCTGGTAGTGTAGATTCAAGTTTGTTCAAATCATGACCCCCGGGGGTAGGGTTGGGCCACAATGACCGATCAAATTTTTACATAGGTTTATATAGGAAAAATCTTTAAAAATCTTCTTCTCCAGAACCACTTTGCCAGGAAAGATGAAACTCATGTGGAATCATCCTCAGGTAGTGTAGATTCAAGTTTGTTCAAATCATAACCCCCGGGGTTAGGATGGGACCATAATGGCCGATCAAAGTTTTACATAGGTATATATAGGAAAAATCTTTAAAAATCTTCTTTTCCAAAACGACTAGGGGCCAAGAAAGATGAAACTCGTGTAGAAGTATCCTGAGGTAGTGTAGATTCAAGTTTGCTCAAATCATGACCCCCGGGGGTAGGGTGGGGCCACAATGGCCGATCAAAGTTTTACATTGGAATACATAAGAAAAATCTTTAAACATCTTCTTCTCAAGAACCATTGAGACAGGAAAGATGAAACTCATATGAAATCATCCTCAGGTAACGTAGATTCAAATTTGTTCAAATCATGACCCCCGGTAGCAGGGTGGGACCATAATGGCTGATCAAAGTTTTACATAGGACTAGATAGGGAAATCTTTTAAAATCTTCTTCTCAAGTACATCAAAGCCATGATTAGTGATATTTATATGGAATCATCCTCAGGTAGTGTAGATTCTAGTTTGTTCAAATCATAACCCCCCAGGAATAGGGTGGGGCCACAATTGGGGATCCAAGTTGTACAGTAAAATATAATTTAAAAAATCATCTCAAGAATAGCAAAGCCATGATTAGTGATACTAGTATTTATATGGAAGCATTTTCAGGCAGTGTAGAATTAAATTTGTACAAATCATAACCCCCGAGGGTAGGGTGGGGTCACAATGGTGGATCAAAGTTTTACATAGAAAAATAAAAGGAAAAAATTCAATAACAGAAAAGCCATGTTTAGTCATATTGACATGTAAGCATCCTCACGACATGTATTGAAGATTCAAATTTGTTCAAATAATGGCCCTTTGGGGGCAGTGAGGGAAACAATGGGGAATCAGATTCAAATTATTACAAAGTAATATATAAGAAAAAAATGTTTTTTAAAAAATCTTTTTTTTCAAGAACAGCAAAGTCATATCCTGTATTAATATGAAGGCATTCTCAAAGAGTATTAAAATTCAAGTCCCCCCCCCCCCCCCCCTCAGGAAACTTTTAAGTGTGCTTTTTCCCAGCTGATTTGCTCAGGTGAGGGATGTGGCCCCTGGGCCTCTTGTTTTCAAATATAATGCCCACTTCGTGCTCTATCATTTCGTCTGTACATGTACAAAATGGCAAAAAGACAAATGTAAAAAAAAATAGACGCAAAAGCACGCATATTTTTAAATTAAAATTCCTGACCGATGAAGACCATTTGATGTGAATTAAATTGTACAAGGCACCGGTTAGAGTTTAAAAATAAAAAAAGGCTGAAAAATATTTAATAAAGATGTTAATTTAAGATTAAAAATATATTATAAACGCTTGTACCTATTATAGTTTGCAGTTAACTGTAAAGTTTCACGTTACGTCACGATCTTTTTCTTCAAATGCATCCAGCGTAAACAATTCACGTGATTGGTCAACTCAAATTATCAACACTGACACGGAAATATAATGAAAAGATTCATCAAGGCGTGTACAATTTACCTTGAGCGCAGCTGTCAACTAGATCGTGACGTAATGTGAAACTTTACAGTTAGCTGCAAATTATAATATGATTTAAAATCAATTTACGCAAAATAATGAAAAGAACATCAATTAAAATTGTCCTCCAGAAACATGTTCGAGTATGTGCACCCCCATGTCAACCTGATTTATCATATGTCATGATTACATGTATTCTAGAAAAAAAAATGTTTAAAAACATGGAGTATTAGTGAACAATATCGATGATGAATTTAGAAAATACAAGTAAATCTTTTCAATTAATTAATCGTAATTAAGAGTACTACCTTTAGTGTAAAAAGTTTAAGGGTTACTTATTAATTAATTATTTTTGTATTCATATGAAGCAGAATTTGTTCAAAATTTTTTACCTTTTACATGACAAGAAGAAAACACTTGCGGTGGCCTTCAACTCGACATTTAGATATATTGTCAATTAACAATGGTAATTTCCATTCTTATGTCGATACGATATATCCTGGTGAGCTTGAGATAAAAGATAACACAGAGTTTCACACATCAGTTTCATATTTGGATATTTTACTTGAAAAAGACGTTAATTGTAATCTGACAACCAAGCTCCGTGATAAACGTGATAACTTTAATTTTACAATCAACTTCCCTCACTTATGCAGCAATATACCTTCATCGCCTGCATGTATACGGAGTTGTATCTCAGTTGATTTGATACGCAAGAGCACACTCTACGTATGAGCAATTTCTAAAATAGGTAAATTATTGACAAACATGTTGACTAAACAAGAATATTAGTAGACTCGTTTAAAGTCGTCATGTCGTAAGTTTTATGGTCGATACAATGACCTTGTCAGCAAATACAATTTATTATTGAGTCAAATGCTGACTGATCAACGTTTTTCATACTTATTGTTAGTCCATTATTTACTAGTATACACTGAATTGACGACAGATTTTCCCGTTATTTCCCGATCATGACAAAGTGCACACACGGCGAGTGTGACCGTTCGGCAGAGGATGCTCACTCCTCCATGGCACCTGATCCCACCTCTGATGTTTTGGAGGTCCGTGTTAGCTCTGCTCCGATTTTGTTTTGTTTTTATGAACTTTTGATCTTGAATATTGTTCGTTATTTCCATATGTTTCAAATACAGATTGACAGGTAATGTTAATTTATAAAACAAATATATTTTGGTTGTTTGAAATCTGGCCATGGAAGGCATAATAATAATTAAAGAAGATTATAAGAACATATTTTAATTAGAACATAAAACAATCAACAATAATATTAAACATGGCAGCAGCGTAAGATGGCACTCGGATGTTGACAACTTTGGCACGAAATGCTTTCAGGTAAGTTTATTATCAGTAATCACACTTCTACACATAGGACACATAGAAGATTGACGTAAACAGCGAACAAGACAGGAAGAATGAAACACGTGACTACATGACGTCATCCTACCGGACCAAATTTCAGCCAGGCAGACAGGGCACTGTTCTCCTTTCCGGTTTTTAGGAATAGACGTAGTATTCCTCCAAAAGTTCTGCTTATGTCCTCGTAAAATCCAAATATTTTCAAAAATTATGTAGATATAATATAATGTTTCTATGGACAGAAAAATCATTGGCACTGAAAACAGATTATGTTTAGAGGTTTTGATAAAAAATGCATAAGCACCAATATATAACACGGACAATAAGCAGTAATATATTTCAGATCTACTCAACAATTCACCGTCTTTTTCTTTCAGTTTTCCTTCAACTGTTTTAATTACATATTGGATTCGAAAAAATGTCAACAATAAAGTTATTGCAAATGACGATACGGAATTGCTATGCAAGTAAGAGGTAGAAAGTATTATTAACAATAGGAAAAAGGATAGTATTCTTGAAAACGTGCCTGCACTTGGCTCGTTTGAATTTCCTTCAAAATCTGAAGCATGTCTCTGTAGACAAAGGTAATTGAGTAGGAGTGATGTACATGTGACAGATATAGACCACACGGCAAATTGTTCATTTTCTCCTGTCCTTGCCAGAAGCAACGCTATTGCAAAATACCTCAAAGAACCCGCCTCCGGGGAAAATATCTGAGAATCGTACAAAACGTCCTCTGATGTAGGTATCCGTATTGAACAGTTCGTAAAATAAGAGAATATTCCCCAAAATGCCAGAAAAATGTATTCACTGATGGTATTGTCAGACTTGTTGAAGATGATAAGTATGATCACTAGAACTATGGACAAGGACAGAATAATGTACGCCGAGTAGATCACTAATCCAAGGAGATCTGTAGACGACCACAGGACCACGGCCCAGAAAACAGTGTTATACGCTGCAAAGTAGAGAAAAAAGAGTTAATTAGAGTGAATATTAGAGAAGCTGTAAAAAAAAAAAATAGCTTTAGAAAATATTCTTTTGTGTCCACGCACCTGTCAGCCAGAGTTTGCATGTTTATGACCAGCATATACGGTAACCTTGGAAACTGGTTTTTCTGGTGCTTTTTAGCTTAACTTTTCAAATCAAATTTTGAATGGAAAGTTTTTGAAATGACTCCGTATATTTTTTAATTTAGGAAAAAAAAAACTTTAATTTCTTTGAAAATAATTTAAGAGAACAAGAAGCAAATATGTAAAGATATATTAATTTTTTTCTCCGTATATGTTTACATGTTTGTTTGTGTTTTGTCTAATCAATTCTACAATCTGTAACACCCGAGAAAAGAAAAGACCTGTTAGTCGTATAGCCTCAAGAAAATTACATCACAATTCTTAATCACACTGGTCTATTAACGTCACCGTAAAAAATAGCCAGGGCCCACGTAATAACACTGTTTGTGTCACACAAGGTGTTGCATTCACGTTTTCTTCTCAGCACAAGAAACAATGACGACAAATAACAAGGGCAGATTGACCACCAGAGAATAGAGCGATAGAACTTTGTGAACTTACCGATCTCAGTCCAGTGATGCAGTGACATGATCAGCGATGAGGATACTAAATGCCGTGCTAAAAATCTCGAAATTTTGTCAGTTAGATACCCCCTGTCCATTGGCACCGGTCAGTTTATCCGTATGCGGACGTACCGATATTTCAGACATCACGTGATGGGTCATTATATAAAGCCGTCTGGTCAAATGTAAACGAAAGGGGGAATCGAAGGTAAATAGTCCACAATGTCGACAGGAAAAGCGAAGGGTCATCAACCGCTGGCCGAAATCTAGGTCACCATTGGGGGAGGGAGTACATGTATAAGTGGAAGGAGATGTGCTGAAGGATTTATTTTAAGAAATAAAAATTTTAAAACCGTATATCGTACAGTGTGCTTTTAGTAAATGATTATTTTAAGTGTTCGGGGGAATTCTGTACATTAAACGATCTTCTGTGAGACCTTTATATAAACTAGAATTGATTTGATTTCCCCAAAATTAATTGGACAATTCCAACCTAGGCATTAAAAAAATCCTTTTAATCTCCAAGCATCAACGCGAGGAATTCCCATTCCGAAACAAGCTTAGTAAAATAAAGTAAATGTCTCATGAGTTCGCCAGTAATTCTTCATTGAATGAGGATTGAATTTTAAAAAAAATCTAAACGGTATATTTTCCCCAACACATTAATAAATTTATTTCCATTCCTTTTATTGACATTTACCATTTCAGGATATTATCTGGAATATTTTGCCATATGAAAGGAATATTTACATTTATAAGAATATGATTTTTGAAGATTTGACAAATATTAATATATAACACGGTTATAGAGAACACGCTTAATATGACGAATTGACGCTTTTAACGAACTGATTTTCATTTCCCGTGACTTTGAAAACTATTATTTGTCAATTTTTTAGTTATAATAGGGTATGTTAAAATATTTCTGGAAAACAATTTAAGAATTAAAGCAAAGCAATACATACATACATAAATAAAAATGATAAAAATAAAGATAAATAGTAAATGAAAAATAAAACGTATCAAATAACTTCAGGAAATTACTGCAAATTTCTTTTTATATATTAAACAAATTTAGTACTGGCTTTAATTAATATTTTGGCGAAACATTTTTTCATTTCTCAAAAATTTCAAGCCCTCTCCCCCTTGGGCCGAGAAAATATCAATTATATCAGAATCATAATGCTACTGGAAAGGTATAATACAGGGAAATTTTCGGCTCAGTTTTGAATTCGCGCCTTTCAGCCTCATTGTAAGTTGACGGATTTAAAACGGTGCAGATTCAAAATGAAATAGATATTATCTCTTTAAAAACAAATGGTTGTGAGCGAATTTAAATGGGGTAACATTTTTTGCAAGTATTAAAGGGCGAAAAAACATACAAAAAGGGGCCAGCATATCTATAGCCCTGTATAAACAGTTACTGTTAAGTTGAATTGCATGTGTATATATGTCTCTCATTTATGATATTGCAACAAACATTTAACTTTTTATACTGTACCTCACGTACCACTTATTATTGACATGACTGAAAGTCTTAAATAAATGAATTTGATAAGCTTCTAATAAGATCACATAACTAGAATAAATATTAAATATTTCCTTACTTATCACTCTACATAATTCCTCACGGACCCGGTGAACTACTTGTATTAAAATTTAATCCAATGAATATTTTTATAAAAAGGATTACTTTCAATGGATTAGATCTCAGACATTGCCTGTATATTAATGCCCTCAAAAATAATATCAAAATAAATGTATAGAAATTAATTGTAAAGAATGACAAAAGATGACCATTATTGTATAATTATTAAAACAATGTACTAAGGAATTATTAATAAAAGAAAAAGGAGGAAAAAATTGAATTATACACAGGGGTATAGGAATAACTCTGAAATTAGAGATGTTCTAATCTATATCCCTGTCTTGTATCATGTTGCAAATTTTGAATTTACTAGGGGGAGGTAAATACAAAATTTACAACATGATACAAGACAGGAGAGTCTACTTAGACAAATTTAAACTTTACAACATACATATTTGTAATATTTGTACTTTTTAAAATTCATAAACGAATGTAAATAAATCAAATACTTTGATATTAGCATTAGATAAATGATTAAGGTTGAGAAGACGAAAAGGGATCGATCTAAAACAAAATTTATAAACAATACAAATATGTTAAGGAGGGCATAAAGCACGGGCCCCTGAGAATTCCAGAGGTGGGATCAGGTGCCGAGGAGGAGTAAGCTTCCCCTGTTGACCAGTCACATTCTGTTTGCGCCCTATAGTATGAATATTGATCAGGTGGACATTAAAATAAAATTTTACTATGAAAACTTATTTGTGTTGATGAAGATTCTCTTATTTTTTAACCACAGTGCTTACTTTCCCAGATAAAAGAAAGCATGTTTTGTTTGGTAAGTAGTTTTTAAACCTTTTAGGTATAACACTTGTCAGTTTTTAAGAAAAGTTTTGTCAGAACCTTTCATACCAAATTTATTGATTAAAATTACTTTTAAAAAATTAAATTAAAAATGCTAATTGTAAAACATTCAATGAATCCCTTCCAAAAAAATCGACTAGTATATTATGATTTATTTATCAAAGGCTTTTAAACCGACCGTTTTACTGAAGAAAATGCATCCGAAACATAACCCTCCATCGTGTTCATGTTCTTTTTCACTCTATGGTCCTGCTGGACACGTTATTACTGGTGACCTGTATTAAACAGGACCCTAGATCACTTATTTTAAATGGTCCTGAATAATACTGTTCAACAATATCTTCTAGAAGTGGTGTGAATCAGATGTGGATGCTAAAATATTCCAAGGAACTTTTTAAACATTTGAAATCACAAAATTTTACCAAAATCAGCAACATAAAAACGGCTTATCAACTTTATATTTAATTTTTCTCACGATAAATTTAAGCCCTAACTTTCTGACATCATTAACAAATGTTTTTCAATAAAAATGGAAATCGTAAATTTATTTACTATGTAATTGGGCATTTGCAAAATCACTATGTTAAAAAACATTCTGATTGTACTCTGAAAAAGATGCACGAGTTTCTAATTGACAATATCTTTGTGGTTTTTGGAGATCAGGTCTTTCAACAATCTATTGGAATTCCCACGGGGACCAACTGCTCCCCATTATTAGCAGACCTATTTTTTTATTCATATGAAGCAGAATTTGTTCAAAATCTGTTACGTGAAAAGAAGAAAACACTTGCTGTGGCCTTCAACTCGACATTTAGATATATCGACGACATATTGTCAATAACAATAGTTATTCCCATTCTAATGTCGATACGATATATCACAGCCAGTTTGAAATAAAAGATATCAAAGAGTCCATCGCGGCAAACCATGACCAAAATGTACGATGCTCTCCCATTCTGGTAGAGAGAACTATATGTGGACTCCGGACCGTGGCTTGAAACGATGCAAAGAGTCTGACACATCTGTTTCATTTTTGGATATTTTACTAGAAAAAGTCGTTAACAACGAAGCTTTATGTTAAACGTGATGACTTTAAATTTTCAATCGTCAACTTCTCTTACTTATGCAGCAATATACACCTTTGTCACCTGCAGAGTTTATATCTCTCAGTTGATTTGATATGGAAGAGCATGTTCTACGTATGAACCATTTCTAAAACGAGGTAAGTTATTGACAAACAAATTGATGAAACAAGAACATCTACAATCTCGTCTAAAGTTTAAATTTCGGAAGTTTTATGGTCGATACAATGGTCTTGTCAGCAAATACAATTTATCATTAAGTCAAATACTGACTGACTTTTTTCATACTGATTGGAACTTAGACCATTATTTACACACTGAGTTGTCCACGATTTTTTCCCGTTATTTCCCGATCATGACAAGGTGCACACGACGTCTGTGATCGGTTGGCAAGGGATTTTCACTCATCTGTCACACCTGATCCCACCTCTGATGTTTTGAGGTCCGTGTTTGCTCTGCTCCTATTTTGTAATGTTAAATGGACTTTTGAGTCGAAAAATGTTCGTTATCTCCACAAATTTCATGACGGACTAGTTTTCCCGAAGAAAGGATATTTAATTAAGGAGGAAATTCTTAAAATCTACACAGGAATGCGAAGATAACGAACGAACGAACGCTATAAAGCTCAAAGAACCAAAAAAAAAAAAAGAACAAATACAATCCTTTGAATATCCTCTTTGTTAAATGTTCCTAGAGAGAAAAAATGTTCAGGTTACTTCATCTCATGTTAACGATCGTTTGATCTTGCTGGAGTTCACAGTTATCGCGCTTTGCATAAACTATCTCCTTAGCACCCTCTGACTCTCTTGTAACTGGTACGTACGAATTCCAGTAGGAAATACATAAAGTATACAAAAAGTTTTACACACCATAGCAGACATCACAAAAAAATCACTATTGAAATATTATCGTGAAAGTTTAAATGATATAAAAAATGATATAAAGTTACGTGGTTAAACTTACTAGTATTCATTTTACTTCTATAGACACGAATGTTATTTTTGTGATTTAAGGTCAGACGAGACGTTCCTCAAAATCTGTTTTGTATATCTTCGTAATGTATGAAAAATATTCAAAATTTTAGTAACATTTTGATTCTAAACCAGTTTTTAAACCTCTTTTAAAAATCCGAACACCTTTACATATGAAATTGGAAAATTATTTTTCTTCCCCAAAGGATTATATAAGAAAAACTACCCATGGTATCTTGCAGAAATGCCTGGTAAGGTACCTCAATTTTTTGTGAGTAAACATGTTTAAGTAGCAATACTTCAATGACAAACTCTTAGAAAAATTTATCTATTATTAAGGAACGTCTCGTCTGTCCTTAAAAAGTGTTTTATCGTACTCGTATGTCCCTAAATTGATATCACAACATTTAGAACTGATATATATGATTTAAGGAGTTCTTTCTTGTTCTATATATGTTTATGTGTACTCACCGCCTTATAATTAAGCTTAAGGACATGGTTTTTAGTTACTGGTATTTTTAATTACATTGATATTTTCACTGTTTTCACATAAATTTTACTAAACATAGATCTACGATCTCTTATTTTTCTTTTGTGAAAAGCAATGGTTTGTCTTTTCATAGACCTGCAAATAAGTCTCAATGCATATTCATGATTATCTAAAGTATTGCTGATACACATACGCTTGCACATACATTCGATTGAAAATAACTTTTATAGGATTTAAGATTTTAAATAGAGCCTTAATCTAGGCAGCACTGAACCAAGT